CTCTTCTTTATTTACCAATTAATTGTAGCAAGAATGTGGAATCATAATCCTGTCAAATCTCTAATTCATATTACCATATAATGTGGGTCAATATAATAACTAAATAAATAATTCAGTCTTATATTCTCCCACTTAGCTTATATGAGAACTTACATCAAGATTTAACAAGATTAACAATAGGCACGCAATAAATCATATTCAATATTACATTTAAATTAGTTATCATCATAATACTATAATTAAATAGTTCACTAATGTGAGTCATGGCGGTTCTACACCAATAGTGCGATATAGTCCCTTCTATGTACTACAACACTAGTAACTAGTTTAATATAGACCTTTAAGTGAAGAGTATAAAGAGGTCCAACGATAATGTCTTTTTATGAAAGACTATTCATGTTATCATTCATTCATTCTCATATATGTATGTACTCATTTCGTAACAGGAAATATATTAGAAACACAATTAATGAGATCTCAATGTTCTAACAAACACAATCAATCATAAACAACTGTTATGGATTATATTCAAGACCCAATTGGAAGGTTTCTTAATTGTCTTTAAGAGTAATCCTTTCATCAATAGATCTGCACTTAAAATTTATGTACTTACGTGTTTTATTGACATTTTCTGTTTCTGAAATTCTTCTTCAACGACAAAGTATTTCAATTTTATATGTTTAGCATCATTAGAATACTTGTCATTCTAAGAAAATAAAACAATTGTGAAATTATCACAATAAATTCTCAACGACTTGGTAACAAAAATCGACAATCCCAAGTCCTAAGATAAAGGTTCGCAATAACAATTCATGAATTGTGATCTCAAAGCACACCACAAATTCAACTTTCATAGAAGATACTTATGATAGTTCATTTTACACTTTTCTTAATATTGCTCCTCCACATAAAAGAAACAAAGAACCAAAAGTGAATTTTCTACTATCATTATATCATTTAAAGTCTGAATCTAAGTAGCCAATCAATTCATGATTATCAGACTTCATAAATGTGAGCAAGTAATCTTTTATTCCTTATGATTACCTTATCACTTCCTTATTTGAGCATTAAATTTCATACAATAAATGTATAAAGAATCATTTCCATTCTAATTGATTTTATAAAAATTTGCATAAGAATTGATTTATTTCTTTTCGAAACATGGATAACTATATGTGAATATTCTCTCATTCTGAATCTCAATAGAACTTTTAATAAATATATATATATATATATACATTTTTAGACAACCTCAACAATTCATGTGATTCATTTAGAAATATTTCATTTTC